AGTGGAGCAAAACTGGAGAGAAAGAATGCACCAGCATCAGAATGTATGTGATTTGAAGGTTATACATATTTTTCCTTAAACTGTTTTATTAGCTGTATCTAAAAAATAAATAAATAACATAAGATTCTGGTGTGGTTTTTCACATTTTCAATTAATTCCATTGTGGCGTTTGTAAACTCTTTTACTCCACAGTCATGGCCAATGACCCAGAACTGCCACCGTTACTTCTGGGATGGGCACCCGAACTAAAATCACTGTCACCATGAAGGCCTAGCGAGACCTGCTCCCTGTAATGCTGGATTTGACATACACACGAACAAATTTACATTTTCTCCAATTTCTAAAGAGGAATGAGAAAGAAATTTGTTATCAGGAATCACCTTTTAAAAAATGATTATCTAGTCACCAGTATCTGATAACACAACCTACCAAAAAATTGTGTTTTCTTGGTGTCTGGGTTTTCAGGCCCGTTCCTGGCCTGACTTGCAGCACTGATTCAGAAAATGGCATTCACAGCCCCGTCAGCTCTCGTTGCTTAGATATGGTGTTCCACTGTATTTTAAACGTTCAATTTACACTAATTTATTATCATACTAGTAAAAATGAGAAAAATTCAGACCCAACAAGTTATGTGATAAAACAAAAGTGATGAGAAGTAGCTGAACAACAGTTAGGTATAAAGGAACTCCCCCAGGAATCTGTATATGGACCCATGATGGCTAGTTGGCTATCGTAAAGTCAGTCTTTCAAACACACCCACCAGTCACTGCAGTCTTTAAAAGGTTCGAATATTTGGAAACCCAAAGGTGCAGTTCCTTCCTGCCCCACAGAGTCACTGTGAGATAGAATCCATGAGAAGGCAGCAGGTTTTTCTTCTTGGTATGGGAGTCTGTGTGATATTGAGAGAGAGAGAGAGAGACTGACCACAGCTGAATCCTGCAAAGCCAGAACAGCATGAGAAGAGTGGAAAATTAAAAAAGAAAATCGAAAAGGTACTTAAATGGATGGTGCGGGGGCAATTTATAGGGTAGAACATACATGGGGGGACTAAACAAAACCAGACTTGCGCTGGGCGGAGTGGCTAGGCGAACATCGAGCAACTCGCTCTGAGTTAGAGACCCAGTGGCACTGCCCGGAAGGTTCTCTCTGGTCACAGTGAATATTTTTTGTAAAAGCAGTTTAATTTCAACCTCGGTTTGTGTGATAGCTGATTTAAGAGAACAGTGTGTGGCTGTGAAATTTTGTTTCTTGCTTGGGAAAAAAAATGCCCCAGAAACTGTTGTGATGTTGAACACATCTTACAAGGACAGCGCTAGGGGGAAAACACAAGTATGAATGGTTTCCTTGTTTTAAAAAAGGTGAAATGTCAACCTTGTTCAGGACATCCATCAACTTCCCTAATGCACGAAAATGTCAACTCTTAGTGAATTTGAAGTTCGTTCCACCAGGTCAGACTGTTAATCAAAGTTTCTATTTAGAGGTTTAGCATAACAAAAAAGCAACCAACAAGGCCTGATTTGTGGCACATAGGGGACGGGTTTTGCCACCAAGACAGTGCACCTGCTCACACAGCCTTGTCAGTCAGTCAGTTTTTGGCAAAAAACAAAAAAACACAAAAAACAAACCCAGCATGTTTCTCTTGCCTCACACACCTTACTCACTTGAACTCACTCCATGATACTTTTTGTTTCCATAAATGAAGTGGGACATGAAATTATAGTGATTTGATGTCGTAGAAGAGGTGAAGAAAAAACCAGGGAGATGCTGTCAGCCATCCAAACAGATAAGTTTGAAAACTGTTTCCAAGAATGGAATCACAGATTTGACAAATGTATTAAGTGTAATGGAGAGTACTTTGAAGGAGATGATGTTGTTTTGTAAAAAGAAATATAAATACATAGTGTAGGGAGAAATCATTTTTTATATAAGACTTCATAGCAATTTTCATAACTACTTTGAATATCTAATTGTTTCTTCAAATTATGTTGTAATCACTCAGGACACATTTTAGTATAGAAAAAGAAATGGATAATTCATGCTAAATGTTTCAGAGGTGAGGTTGACTTTAAGTTTCTTTATAAGAAAAAGTCTAACTTTTCTTTTAGAATATCCATGAACAGGCCGAGAAGTTGTGTCATTTTATAACAAGACTAGGGTACTTTAATTTTAATAAAGGAGTCTGAACTCTGACAGACCAATTTTAGGTTTGAACGTTTGAATCTCTATTTATTGTACCAAACTCATTACCAGCCATTCAATTACAACTCACAGCAACTTTATGGGAGAAAATAGAACTTCTGCTGGTTGTTGAGGCTGTCGAACTTGAGTGGAGCAGAAAGTCTCCTCTTTCCCTGACAGAACAGCTTGTGGGCTCCAAGAGCTGACCTTGTGGTTAGTAATCAAACCCATAACCCACTATGCCACCAGGGCTCCTTATTTAATATTGAACACTAACTCTTATTTCTGGGCCCCTTTTAAGATAACAAATTGGAACTGCCTGCTATTCAGTTCCTAATAAAGGTGAAGTGAGACATGAGGAAAATTCCAAGTTCATGGAATTTGCACTGTTCAAATATATCTTTGGATCAAAGGACACCAGGTGAAGTGTAACTTGACCTCAATATTTATTATGACATAAATTATTTTAAATAAAGCCAGGGTGCACTTCCTTATTTCAGGCTAGCTAACACTACATTAAAGCATCTTTAAGTTTTCTGCCTGAGCAGAGAAAAGGCTGGTATATGGTATATGATATATCTCAGAAACTAGAGGTGATAGGTGGAAATTCACGCCATTTTTGGAAGCAGCAGGTCACATATACGCAGAAACAAATCTAGCATTTGAGGCATCAACATGTGTGCTGGCCAGTGTAATCCTCTGAACTAAATAGCATTACGAATAATGAGGCACATCAATATCTATCTCCTCCAATGGCAAACTCTACATTTCTAGTCAGATAAGGTGAATGTGTGGCAGAGAGCTATCCAAGCTACTGGAAAGAGATAACTTAATATAAATTTAAGGTGACTTGAGAAGTATTATCAAGGTATTTAACAAGTTTCAATTGCCAGAAATCAATCAACAATTTAGAGATTCAGCTTCCACACATACAGAATAAGTATTCACAGCACATAGAGAGTGAGTGTTCACTGAAGTATTAGGCGAATGCTGTAGGGAAAGTATCCCTGGAATGTTGCCGCTGTCAGGCACTCTCATGAGCATGGGCTGGAATAGTATACATAAGAAAGCATTCATACATTCATTCATCTATTCATCCAGTGAGTACATAATTAGTGCCTACTCTGTGTCAGGCATAGATTCTAATGAATTTGCCCTTCCCCAAAAGACAACACCAACTGCAGGAGGGAAATAGGCAAGAAGCATGTTAAAATTAATGAACAGAGTCCGTTTAGACAGAGATCGGTGCTAAAAACAAAACAAACCTAATGCTATAAGGTTCAGATACTTGGGGGATGGGTGCATTTCAAAATGGGAATGCAAGAAGCTTTTTGATGCCAAGAAATATAAATCTCAATTACTTAGAAGTTGGTTCTATAAAGTCTCTAATTCCCCTCTCTCCTGTTGACCATTTTTTGCCATTGCACCAATTATTATTACTGTTCCATGAAAAGGGTGAAGGTCCAGGCAGTTCATGGTTATTGAGATCCCAGTGTGTTCTCAGTACCAATATGGTTAGCAAATGTGGATGGATTCAAACAACTGATCCTACTGCTGTGATAAAATATGAGATGGGGAACAATGCTTCGATCAGCAGATAATATACATACACCTTCTAATTTTGAGAGGTGCCCATTCGTATTTTCACTCTCTGAGAGTCAGCCGTCAATTATCCTCGGAACTCTTCCAGAAGGAAGCATCATACGATGCCACTAGATGGCACCAATTAATTTCATATTTTCATACCAAAAGTTGCACGTGTGAGAGAGATTTAAAATGGAAGAATATTGCATGGCACCATTATAAATAAAGACAAAATATTCACTTTAATTTCAGTAAAATTCTCTTACAAGAGGGACTACAGTGAGCTTTAAGAATAGTAGGCCATTCACTCACATACTTGTTTTTTCAGTGAACATTTCTGTCGCAAATTAATCTTTCTAGTTTATCTAATAGCATTGTCTTCGATTGTGCAAAAGTGATAGCGTGACAGAAATTTAAATTGTTTATAATTAAACATAAATACCTCAATCCATGGAGAGTTTATAAACATCATAATAATATTACATATGTCCTTAAGCTTGCAGGAAATAGTTTAAGTAAACCACAGTAGTGCTCTTTAATTTTTAAGAAAGAATCATCATTGTATCTCTCAAAACTTAAGTAATATTTCTGGCTATATTGACATTTATGGTATTCATTGCAATTACAAGTAAAATAATTATTTAATGGTAAAATGGGATAGGAATCATTAGAATAAAATGCACATCATTAAATAGTATTAAATACAAAGAGTTCAATATGCATAACTTCTTACAACTTGATTACTAACACTTCACACCTGGAAAGACAAGCTTTCCGAGGGTTTCCCTGTGTCTAGCTGGTAAATGTCCAGTGCCACTAAAATGTTATGTAAATGTTATGGTGAAAACAAGCATTTCTGAAGACTATGCTCATAAGATCTCAAAGTATGTTTCCTCTGAAACAAAAACAGTTATTTATATATCTCCATTAAAAGCATTCAACTGACCACAGAATAGATGTAACCTGAAACTTTCAACTAGCAGAGATCAAAATAAAATATAGTACAATAATAAAATGAGAATCCATATGATAATGCATCAAAAGTATAATATACTGCATGAAAATATTATATTTACTTAAAAGAGAAAATGAAAATCGGCATGGTTATTGTGTCAACAATTCTGTTTTGAAAATCTAGACATCTCAGCTACTTCTGGATGAAATTATCTGACACGAGCTGCTAATTTGACTATTGCGATATTTCTTTCATTCTAAAACAGTCCAAAAGTGATACTCACTTTAATTTCTTCCAGAGTTTTTTGCCTCATAGAAGTTATCATATTAAATCTCTCTCCTTCCTCAGATAATCTTTCTTCAAGGGCTTTTTTCTCATCCTTTAAGTGATCAAACACAGCTTGAATGTGTTCTTTTTTATGTCTTATAGCTAAAAAGTTTTCACTATAAGAAAAAAATGCACTTGTCGCTAATCAATTCATATTTTATGTTATAGATTATGTTTAATATATACACACAGATATATATATATCCCAGGTGGCATAACAGATTAGGTATGGGCTAACTAAAAGGTTGGGGGTTCAAATCCATTAGCCACTCCATGGAAGAGAGATGAGGCTTTCTCTTCCAGTTAAGATTTACAACTGCAGAAACCCAAAAGGGCAATTCTACCCTGTTTTGTAGAGTTCACTATGAGTCAAAATCTACTCAATGGCAAAGAATTCTATGAGAATGTGAAAATATGTTGGTAAGTAAAAAAACACAGCTATTTGGGTTTCTGTTCATACATGCATGGATTTTAACTCCCAAGTGAAAACAGAAAAACAGACAGACAAAAATATCTTTAAACCTCTCCCTGCCATCAGTGGATGACTGAAGACAAGTTCTCTCAGTAAAACTCGTGTTTTATTCTCATTACATAAAGTTGCAGCACTATCAGCTGCAATACAGCTCAAAGAATCAAGTCTTTCAATCAGTCTTTTCAGAAAGATAGAAGCTAATGAAGGTGACTTTGTGGAAAGATCAAGAACTGGTGGCAACTCATTGGATTGCAAGTAGGATCCAGAGAGTAAGGACCAAATGAAGCAGTGGTTTCCAAGGGGTCTGCTGGACCCATTAATTTCAAAGTCAACTCACATGGTCCTGGCAACGTTGTTCTGTAATCCCTAATATGTGTGATTTTGAGAGATTTTTCTCAAAGGACACAGGACAATTAAAGGGGCTTCTGAGGAAGAAGTTTTAAGAAACTAAAAATGGCATTGGTAGAGGAAAGTATAGAAAATGTGAACCAAGGAATGTATTTTCATCACAACAACCTCTCATTACTTTAGGGTAGCAAGGGCATTCTATGATAATTTCACTGGGAATTGTACCAGCCCACCTATTCTAAGGTTGCCGCTTTTTTACTTCTTTTTGTTCTCAAAAATCAGAGAATATGTAAAAGGAACATAATTTGAGTCTCTCTGGGATACCAAAACCGTGGTGAAATCAAAGGGCACACAGCTCTTTGGGGCAGGATCCAAAAAACTCCAAAAACCAAACTCACTGTCATTGAGTTGATTCCATGGAGCTGGGGCAGCTTAGACAGGTGAAAATACATCTTTCAGACGAGCACAGTCACAGATGGTGGATATTACAAGAAGGAGTACTTTTGTGTTTCAAATTTTTGTTTACAAAAGGCTTGTATGATTTTGTAGTCATAATTTTTTACTTACTCTTGCATGTATACTTCATGCATGGAAATTATATATCCTTTCTCATTATAATTTTAAAAAGAAATTAAAAAAAGAAATACTAGGACCTTATGAGTCTAGGTTTAAATTATTCCACCTCCTAGTTGTGAAAATTAAATAATATTTTAAACGCAACATATAAATTGCGTGGTATATACGACATGTATAGTCTGAAAATATTTTTGATACTTGAATGCACAATTCCCCACTGGCCCTTTCTTAATCCTTTTTGGTGCCTGGTGCTATATCCCAGATTCTTAAGTTAAAATAGTTAACTCTGAAGGTCATCCATTGATAACACCAGTAGGTTGCTCCTAGTACAGGCTTTCTGTAGTACTCTTCCTTCCCAAAGCTAGTTCAAGGAATCAGCACACACCACTAAAAGAGCACACACTTTAAAGTAGGATAGACTTAAGTTGAAATTAGCTCTAAGACTAATTAGCAATATCAAGGCAATCATTGAATTTCTCTAATTTTCTTTTTTCCTAGCATGTGATTTTGTTTGGAGAATTAAATGAGATAAGCACACAAGTTGCCCAGCAAAATGCCTATCACATTAGAAAATCAATCAATAGTAGTCTTTAAATAATATTTGATATTGTCCATCATGATTGTTAATTGACATAGTGATAAATAATACTATGTTAGTTTATTTTGTTTTTATTTTAATAAATCATTTTATTTGGTGCTCTTACAGCTCTTGTAACAATCCATACACAGTCATTGTATGTTCAATCACATTTGTACGTATGTTGCCATCATCATTTCCAAAACATTTTCGTTCTACTTGAGCCCTTGGTATCAACTCCTTTTTCCCTCCTCACTTGCCCACCCTCCCACCCTTGTGAACCCTTGATAATTTAAGATTTATTTTTATTTTCATATTTTATACCATCTGCTGTCTCCCTTCACCCCATTTCTGTTGTTCATTCCCCTGGGGGGTGGGGTCTATAGAACAACCGTTGCGATAAGTTCCTCCCTTTATCCCCACCTCCCCCTACCTCATGGTATCACTACTCTCATCATTGGCCCTGAGGTCCATTGGTCCTGGATTCTCTGTGTCGAGAGCTCTTATCTGTACCAGTGTACATACTCTGGTCTAGCCAGATTTGTAAGATAGAAGTGGAGTCACCATAGTGATGGTGGGGAGAGCATTAAAGAACTAAAAGAAAATTGTGTGTGTCCTAGGTGTTATACTGCACCCTGGCTGGCTGGTCCCTTCCTTGTGGCCCTTCAGTGAGGGGATGTCCAATTGTCTACAGATGGGCTTTGGGTCTCCATTCCGAGCCCTCTCATTCGCATCAAAATGGTTGTTGTTTTGGGTCTTCTGTTGCCCGATACCTGATCCCGTGGACACTTCGTGATCACGTGTTGATATGCTTCTTCCATTTGAGCTTTGTTGCTTCTGTGCTACATGACTGCTTGTTTAAATCAAGACTTTAAGACCCCAGATGCTATATCTTGCAATGTCCAAGCACCATCAGTTTTCTTCATGACATTTGCTTATGCACCCATTTTATCTTCAGCGATTGTGTTGGGAAGGTAAACATCACCGAATGCTAGGCTATTAGAACTAAATGTTCTAGCACTGAGGGAGGACTTGAGTAGTCCGTCTGCTACCTTAACATTTAACCTTAACATAATATAAATTTATGTACCAAGACCTATAGCCCTATCATTATATATGAATATATTTACATATGTATGTATGTATGTTTATACCTTAATAAATGTCTTTTGCCTCCTTGTTCTTTCCTCTATTTACTTTTAATTTCCTCCTGTCCCACTATCATGTTCGGCTTTCATTCAGCTCTCTGTACTTCCTCCCGGCTACACTGCACTTGATTGAACCCCACCACTCATTCTATGCCCTCCTCACCATTGATTATAGATCTTGTGTTCCCTTGCCCCTGGATCTGTTGGCTCCCACCTCCCTTTCCCCACCTCCTCCTCTTTCCTGACCCCTGGAACCATCGGTCCCTCTGTTTCCTCCTTGGGATTGTTGATCCTGCGTATCTTATATAGAGAGACATGGGGGGAAAAGACAGAAGAAGAAACATAGCCTATGAATAGTTGCAGGTCTGTCTTATGAATGTTTTCAGACTGGGTCTGATGCAGTGGCAAGCCCTGACACCTGAGTGCAGGGTCTGATGCAGTGGCAAGCCCTGACACCTGAGTGCAGACTTTGACCATGTTCCTTGGGGACTTGGTTGTTTTGCTCCCCCTGCTGCTCTGTTACACTCCCTTCGTGTTGCGCCCTGATATTGGGGGTCAGATTGGGCACAATTCCCACACTGTGTCTCCAGAGCTGCCCCACTCCC